GCAGTCTGTGTGTGTGTGTATGGACTCAGCAGTCTGTGTGTGTACGGACTCAGCAGAGTGTGTGTGTGTATGGACTCAGCAGTCTGTGTGTGTGTGTGTGTGTATGGACTCAGCAGTCTGTGTGTGTGTGTGTGTGTATGGACTCAGCAGAGTCTGTGTGTTTGTGTATGGACTCAGCAGAGTGTGTGTTTGTGTATGGACTCAGCAGTCTGTGTGTGTATGGACTATTTTTTTTTTTGACTTGTAGGAATGGCATACGTTTTTTTTCCAGGGCTGCTTTGGATTCCCAGGGATTCCCAGTTTGGCTCTGCCAGCGAGTGCACTTTACCGCTGAATAATCTGTGTGAGCTGCCGCACACTTTAGCCCTGTTACACGTGTCTGGGAGATGCTGTTGACAGGTACTAGTAGTCTAGAGATTGGGACATGGGGTATATGATACAGATCTGTGTGTATATAATATCCCGGGATAGTCAGTGCTTCCTGTATAGTGCTGCTCTCTGTCTTGGGATATTATACACAAACAGACCTGTATAATACAGAGAGCAGCACTATACAGGGAGCACTGAGTGTCCCAATTTATTATACACACAACCTTGTATTATACAGAGAGCACTGACTGTCCAGGGATATTATACCCAGACAGTAATTGATAGCTGTGCTGGAAAATGTCCTTGGAATTTTTTTTTCAAATGTTGGCAACTATGGCACTGTATCAAGGGTAATGTGTTTGTTTTTTTAATAATCCCTGGTGGAAAATCATGAATCCTCCACCAGGTATTATTAAAAAAACAAAACACATTGTGCCGGGGGCGGGGCTTAACATGTGACAGGGGTGGGGTCAAACTGCGACGAGGGCGGGGTTAAATGTGCCCCCCTACTTTTGTCACTGGCCCTCCAAAAAATGAATCCTAGAGACGCCACTGATAACTTGCTAGGCTAGACATGCATAGAACAGAACTAGTTGCTCTTTAGGTTATGCGTGTGTATCTTGGTTGTAGTGTGACATACAGGCATTAGGAGCACAGTGATTGAATTAACTAGATTTGCAGTTAGTAGAGGTAACAGTACTTTCTTTAATGCAGGCTGGTTGTTTGGGTGTATGCCAACATAGCGCATTAAAGATATTAAAGAGAAAACTAAGTGTTAGTAATGAACTTTGCAGTAACAGTTTAGAGTCAACGAGTTGAGTAGTAAGAAGCAACATCAGGGAGGTCAGAGACAAGTGCTTAGTAGTGGTAGGCGGTTTTGGTCCGCAGCGGGCAGACAGGCATAAGTAGGGGACACAGCCTAAATATATGTGCTATATTATGGTATCTTAACCCTCAGTGCGTGTGTGTAGAGGCTGGATAATGTTTGGGCAGTAAGTATGCACTGGAACCCCTTTTGGTAACATGAGTAAATTAAACACATAGCTGCTTCCCCTGAGGATCGCTTGGAAAAAATCATAGAGACAAAAAAAAAAACACAACAACGATATATATCGGAATATAAGAGGCAGGATAGAGTCTCTTGAGTGCAGCTGGTATGCCGTTTCCCATATCTCCTCAATAGGTTAGGGTATGGCCATCCAGTTCCTCAGGCCCCGCTTAACCTATGCCGTCCCGGATGTAAGCATAGACCCATGCCCAGGGGGGATGCTGCCGACTTCCCCAGCTTGTAAGGGCTTGGTAGGGTGGGCCTCTCTGTCCCCACGGGTTTTCCCCTGATACCTCAATGAGAGTCTGTGTCCCGGTGTGGTCCCGCCGTCGCTGTTGCTGTCTGGCAGGCATGGGCTGGATCAGAGCGGTGCTTGGTTCGTGGCTCGTGGGGCGCCCCCTCGGGTGCCGTCTGCTCGGTTGCAATATCCCTTTCCCGTGTGGTCGGTTACAGGGGGTTCTCGCTGCGGCAACTCGCACCTTCAGCCGGTGTCTGGGAGCTCCAGGGTGATGGGTGAGTGGGCTAGTGCGCCTCAGCATAGGTACTTTCGGGTACCAGGGGGTTGCCTTCTTGCTCCTGTTGCCGCCAGATGTATCTTTGGTCCCCTGCCTTGTGGTGATTTCCCGCCAGCTCCATTTTTCCATGCAGCCTAGTGGTAGGAGTTTCTGTGTGGTCTTCTGTTTGGGTAAGCTTGTGGGAGTGCGCGGCAGGGTGTCAGGCCCTTTCTCCGGGGTTGTTGAGGAAAGAAGAGCTTCCAGCTTTTCCCAGAAGGCTTGAAAGGCTTCGTCCAGCCGGTTCTCTGCCTCCGTCTGCTCGCCTCGAGTGCTGGTTGAGTACACTGTCTCCGCCATTTTGTGTATGCGGTACTACTGCTTGGTTCAGGTCCCGTGATTGCCATAGCGCTTTTGCCAGGTTGTGCCCCGGTCTCCTGAGGCTGGACCGGGATGCCCCCATTGGTCCTGAGGGGGAGGAACGTGGGCCTTGTTTTGGTCTGTCCGCCATGGTCAGCAGGGGAACGGCCATCTCCCTCGTGCCGATCATGCGAGTTGGCCATGCAGGAGGAGTGGGTGAGTTGCGCTGCACAGGTCGCTTGTGTGGCACCATCCTGTGCCTCTCCGTGTCACCTTCCGCCTGCTGGCCTTTTTGAGCCGATTGGGTCGCTTTTTTATGACTGAAAACCGATTAAATCGCGGTGTGAAGCAGGAGCTGCACAGATTAGTGTCTTCTCGCTTCAGCGGTTAGGCCCCACCCCCTTTCTTGTGTGTTTTACTGTAATTTCATTTACATCACAGAGTAAATTTGGAGAGAAAATCAGACTGTTGTTCAAAATCTTTTGCCATAACAAGGAACTGGTATAATCCTAAAGACTTTCTCAAAGTAACACATTGCTATTTGCATTTCTACTATGTGCGATTTGTCCTTTGATTTTATATTTGTTTTATGTTTAGCTAATATTTTTGTTATTTGCATTGTTATCCACTAAGAACAGCCTGTTTCTTTTGACTATAAGCACATTGTGTATAGGTACTCCTCTATGTCCCAACTAAACTAAATAGCATACCCTGAAGCAAAGCAAATTGGAACTTCTACAATCTGATCCTCGATGGGGATTGTACAACCCATCATGTTAAAATAAAGCAATTTACTGCTCTAAAAATTGTAAGTTCATCTCCATTTATTTTCATATGTACTTACATACAGAGTGCACTACATACTGTTTGTTTTTTTCCATATTTGCAAGTGGCTGTTGAAGAATCTGTGAACCAGTTATATCCATAGGTAGGGATAGTACTGTCTATTACCTGCAAATTTGAGATTTAGTAAAATCTCTATGCTTGTGAGTTCAATCCCTATTTTAAGCATTTTATGTTAACAATACTGGATGTTTTTTGTCTTTACACAGGGCTGGTGCTTCCATTAGGCCAGTTAGGCAGTGGTCTAGAGCGCTCTGTGAGAATGTAGTCTGAGAATGTGCTGGCATGTTGAGTCACAGAGACCCCTCCTCCACCTCTGTGTCTATTAGACACTGTGTGTGTCTATTAGACTGTTTGTGTGTCTACTGGCCAGTTTGTGTGTGCATTAAGCAGTGTATGTGTCTGCTGGTGTATGTGTGTATTACAGGTTTGTAATCATCATACATTTCAGTTTGTATCAGTAATGTGGAATTTATATCACCCGACACCTGAGGCATGCAGTTCCAGGCGGCGGACACGGAAGAATTTTTTAATCTTTTGGGGGGTGTTGGTGCCCAGCAGGGAGCGTTTCTCCAGCAGGCATACCGGGATGCTATAACTGGGCCACCCAACTGCTCCTGATAATGCTCAGGACTCATGGCCGCCGGGATTCAGCAGCACTTAAGTATAGAAAAATAATCCTGGCACTCCAAGATGTTCCAAAAAAGTGGGCAATTTTATTGGACCCATGTACCAAAGAACAACGTTTCGACCCCTTAGGGCCTTAATTTGGTCCCTTTGGTACTGGGGCTGATCCATTTTATTGCACCCAGGATTCTAGGACGAGGGTTTGAGTGCATTTCCATCACCTATACATGGGATTCATGGGCGCCACGTCATACTCGGCAGCAAACACGCTATAAAGGGCAGAATAAGCATGGAACAGGCTGCTGCTGGTAATCTGTGCTGTGTGTGAGTGTAAGAGAATGTATAGTTTGTGTGTATGGGTCAGGATGCTCCTTCTCTTCATTTGCAATGTAGCTTTACCTGGAATAAACAATTAATGAACTCATTAAACTAACTGTATGGGGGGGGGGGGGAGCAGGGAGCACCTCAGAATTCTGGGCCTACAGACACGTTACTGGTAAATTCAGCCTTGGTGTCAGCCAGTCAACAAGTGCTGCCTAGGATTTACTCTTGCAGAAATGCACTAATTTAACAGAAAGACAATGCAAAGCCTTGTGCATCCAGAAATGCATTTAAACACAGCTCATTGAAGTGGTCTGTGTGCAGTGACCCAGGACCCTTAAACCTGCAAAGGTAATTATTGCAGTTTTTCATAAACAGCAATAACTACCTTTGAGGGTTAACAACTTTTGGTTGCCTGACACTGGACCGCCTCATGCTATGCATGAAGACATCCAGTGTCACCCAAAACCTCATAGGAAAGCATTATGCAGCCATCGCCACTGATGGTGGGGGGGAAATGCGGAGGGGGAGGGGGGCTGGGGCCACAACGGAGGGAGACCTTTTTATGGCACTATAGATTCCCTTTAGTAATATACTCATGGTACACTCTTTCACAAAAGTTGGATACCAAAAAAAGACAATCCAGGGTGGAAGAACATTAGTAACAAATTGGGAATAATCTGCTTAATCTGGTTTGCTCATTTATTATCATTTAAGCTTTATTGCATTTCTTAAGACCTGTATTTGGACCTTGTCTTTGATTTTAACTTTTTTTAAACATTGTCTGTTCTGACTTTTCCTGACCTCTGGTCCATGTTAGAGTTTGCTAATGAGATTTGTGCCTGCTAATGCTGTGCTTTGGATCTGCCATAACTGCCTCCCACACATATTTGTTCTGTTCCAATTCTAGGTTTTTCCTAAGCAGAGTTGAAACTATAATGCATGACTCTGCACCTGGGCTTTAAATTTAAACTCTGTCCATTGACACACTAATCAATTCATCATGCTGAGTCAATTAATAGTACACCTGTTTGCAAGAAAGGATATCTGGAGAATCAGGTTAAGTTGTAAGCAGTCTAATGCAATTACCATAATATAATGCCATTAGGTGAAACTGGCAACTTTATAAAACAAAATACCTTTATTGTGACATTAACCACTTCATGAGAAAACATAATATAATGACTGTCCTGGTGCATGTACACGATCTGTCATGAAGGGGTTACCCTTTTAAGCATGCATAGAATACCATCTATTAGTAACACTGAAGTTAATGAGATTGCCATGCAAATTAGAAAGATCCTCTTTCCATTTATTGTATTAGTATAAATGAGAAATAAAAGTGCAACGGCATTAATATATTATGAAGGAAGGCTGCTCAAAAACATATGCAAATTGCTAAAAGAATGTTTCAGGCATGCTATTTGATTCATGATAACATTAATTTAATTATAAATCACAAGAGTCTTCTGCCCCTGAGTCTTAAGATCTTTAAATGAATTAAAGACTAGCCACTCTCCTTTGGTTTTATCACTTAATTTCCCTCGAAAATATCTTTGTTGTATTAATCAAACATGTTCTTTAATTTTTCAGTGTGTTTACACTACTTTTTAAAATGATTAGATAAATTCACTTTTCACTGCATTATACAAAGGACATTAATGGCACATTTAATTGTTTAAATGATTTTACTATTCATTCGGTGTCAGAATAAATAATTCACTAAATGTATTCAGAAAGGCAAAGCTTATTTTTTAATTGTGCAACCATACCTCATCTTTAGTTGGATGCAGTAATGTATATTGCAGAATTGAATTAAAAACAATTCTACCCTGCAGATTATATAAATTCACAATTTAACAGATAGGTGATTTAGATTACATTTGCTTTTAGAGTAAAATAAAATAAATAAAATGAAAAAAAAGAAAGAAAAAAAAAGGTCAGGACTCCTCCACAGACGGACAAAATAAATAATTTATAAAACAAAACCTGCAAAGTGAAAAGCGGCATCATTCTGGTGTCCTTTGGAAACACACAGATGCGTATTGACACTATGCGTCATTCTTGCATCACTTTTGGAGATGACAGCTCCATGCATACTGACACCAAGCATCATTCTGGAATTGAGATTAATGTGGACCACTGTTATTGGCACTTTATTTGCACTGATGAATGCATAACTCTTCAACATCCCACCGGTCTTTGCAGATCAAACGCAGCAAGTTCAAAAGTTTTAGCATCATTATTGACGCAGGCCAATAGTAAAAGGCTACAGTGACCCTTCCTCTTTGCCCTTCTGTGGTCTCTGTTACCCATAAGTGTGTTTTGGCTTATGGTGTAAAATTAGTTTTTTACTCAGGTTTGTTATGTGACTATGCTAACCTCTGGAGTGCTATCTTAAACCATTCTTTTGATTTTCTGTAAGCCATGACCTCGGCCAGTCCCTGTTTTTTTCACTTGTTACCTACAGACTGTATTCTATACTTTCATATGTTAAGCCTGACCACCCTGTAGCGAAGCTGCAATAATAAAATCTAATATCTCCACTGGTGTTCTGTAAAGCAGGAAAGAAAGCAAAGTTCAGCAGAATAATCCCAATCCCCCAGTAACTGTCCGACACACAGTTCTGTGAGTCAACTGGTTTAATGGGAGCCACACACGGCCTTTTATGTGTGTCCCCATGCAAGGGGTTTCTTGTGACATATTCCAGGGGCATTTCCCCACTGGACCTGAGAGGAGACTGTTATACAATACACTCAATTATATTAACTCTCAGATCCAGGACATACATAACAAAAACACCCCAAAATACACACTTTACAAATAGGTACCCCCTCAAGTCCTATATCCCCGGATAGCCTGGATCTGAGCGCCCAACATATCCCGAAAGCACTCAGATCCCAAGAACGCAGCTGAAACACCACTGGGGTATAATTTAGACCGCACATGAGGCACCTGCCCAAAAGAGTTCCACAAATTCAGGCTGAGCGGTCGATCTCTTTCAGGAGTATGAAACATAATAAAACAACAACTATAACTGTTTATATGTGAGCTTGTTATGTGTCCCTCGTTCAGGAGTTAGATCACACCGAACGCCGCTCTTCTTCGATGAATGGAAGCAAACCTATGTGGAGGTGGAAGTCTCAATGGTATTCACGCCATCAAGTGTCGGATTATAGTTTCCCGTGAAACCCTTTGACATAATGTAT